GCCACCGCACTCCAGTCTGGGCGACAGAGTGAGACTCCAACTCAAAAAAAAAAAAAAAGGAAAGAAATGCAGGGTCTTGAGTGCCCTCAGGTCCTGGTTGGCTCCTCCTCACATGCTGTCCTGTGGGGGCTCCTGCCTCAGAGGGCTCCCTTGTCAGAGCCCACATTGTAATGAGATCCCAAGTGACGAGGGGCGCTGGTCGCTGGTGTAGCATGGGTGTCAGTAGATATTTCTGTGAGGGCTGTAGAGGACCTTGGCTCCAGCTTTTTGGGCCACACAACTTATGCCATGAGTGAGGAAGCACCGCAGATGGTCCCTACCTGTATGGGTGTGTGTCCCGTAACTGAAACTTGAATTTTATATCTTTTTCATGTGTCATGAAATAGTTCTTTTAAAATTATTTCCTCAACCATTTGAGAATGTAAAAGCCATTCTTAGGCTATACAGAGAGAGCCAGTGAGCTGGATTTGACCTGCGGGCTGTTTTTGCTGACCCTTAGCCCATAGCAAGCTTTGGCTCCGTTCAGAGGGATGTGCAAGTCTTAGTCTTCTTGTGTCCTCCAAGGCAGGTGGGTTGGGGAGGTGGGCTCCCACCCCTTCAGAGACACAGTGTAGGGTGTTATGGGGGGAGTCCCTCAGTCTTCAGACTTTGATGCAGAGCAGACGTGGAGTGGAGGGCACAAGGGCAAGTGCAGCAGGCACACTGTCCTCTGGCCTTTCTCTGCCTCTGGCTTCATCATGTCCACCCCATGCCTCCAGCCCAGGGCCAGCTGGGGAAGGGTTGACTCTGCCTCCCCGTGGCTGAGGTGGATTTCTGCCACTGCTGTCTGACGTCCTTTCCTCGCCCCCAGAAACCATCCATGTTTGATGTGAGCCGCGAGCTGGGCTCCAGTGTTGCACTCTACAGCCGCAAAATCCTCATCCAGACCAAGGCCACGGACATTCTGCCCAAGTGGCTGCGCTTCATCAGAGGTACGTGGCCTGACACCCATGCTCAGCAGTGTGGGCTGGAGCCCTGTGTCCATGGCGTCCCGTGTGGTCCAGTGTCACTACTGTGTTTGCTGTCAGAGGTCATCCTTGATGGATGTGGGCAGGGCGAGCTGTGGGCCTGCACGCGACTGTGTCTCCAGAGTGGTGTGTGGAGAGCAGCTGAGCCCCAGGAAGCTGCCTGGCCTCAGCCCTGATCATAGTTCATTTGGGGGCGCCTAGGGGTGTTTAAATTGAGGTCTTTCAGTGTTTAGAAATATTACATGCGTGAATTAGTTAAATTTGAGTGAGATGATAGTTTAATAAGAATTTGGTGTTTAAACCTTTGTATCACCTTAGCACACAAAGGTGCAAACTGTTCACGATATATTTATGATTTTTAACGTAAAGTCCAGGATGTCGTTCCCTGAGTGTTAGGTGGATCCTGAGGCCATGGACGCTGTTCCTGGCAGAGCCCGACCTGCCTGTGGATCACGTCACTGTGCCCTGGGAGACGAGCAGGACTCCGGGGAATCTAGGGAGGTGCCAGCTTCTCGTCCTTCCCGCTTTCTTTCCACGTGTGGTAGATGTAAGACCGGGCTGTGGAGATGCAGGCCCAGTTAACAGGGAGGACTTGGGTGGTGGTGGAGGGGCTGCAGGCTCAGGGAGAACCCTGACCAGCTGTGCCTCTCTCAGGTGTGGTGGACAGCGAGGACATTCCCCTGAACCTCAGCCGGGAGCTCCTGCAGGATTGCGCGCTCATCAGGTGAGCTTCAGGGCAGGGGGAGGCAGGGTCCTGCTGGAGACAAGGTCCCCTCATCTGCTTCTTTGCCGCTGGGGCATGGCCCACTGGAGCTGAGAGCAAAGCGTAGCCTGTGGAGCCGAGCCTGGGGCTGGGGATCACGAGGCCCTCCTGGCCTCTGAGGCATGCCCTTGAGCACTTCAGTCTGTGGTCCTTAAGGATTTTGGAATGGCCAGTCACTGCCAAGGCTGGAGTCCAAAAAGGGGAGGTCTGCAGAGCCAGCCCTGCCCAGCCCTGCCTGGGGACAGGGCTCTGACCCAGCCCTGCCGCGGGCTGCCCCTTTGTGAAGGGGGCGTACTTGCTGCTTGTGCTCGGGATTCTCCAACAGCGTCTTTGACTTCCTCACTCAGGTTCCAGGCTCACAGTTAATCTTCTTCCAGAACTTCGCTTTCTGACTTTTTTCCTGGTGCAAGTAATATCTACTCTCTCAAGGACAGACAAATCGCCGTAATCTCGCCCTGCAGTAACTTACCAATGTTGATGTTTTAGGGTGTAGTAACATGGGGCAGGTTTCAGAGTGAGCTTGTGGGGTGAGAATTCAGTTGGAGATGCCCCTTTGCCATTTCTGACTTGCCCCTTGAGTGCACCATGCAGTGGTAATGGCCACGGAATCTTGTCTGTGACCACTTGCAGCAGTTCCTCAGCCACCTTTTCTTCATCGTCGGAGTGGCTTCTTGTATGGAGGACGAGACTCAGTAGTTGGTGTGGGTTTGGGCCACGTCGTGGGGTTGGGGAGAGGTCCATGCTGAGAGGCACACCACGGTGCAGAGGGCATCTGATGGTTCCTGGCCCTCTTGTCTCGTGTGCCTCAGGACAGCAGTGGGTGAGGAGGAGGTAGGGAGGGTGGCCACTGCCCACTGGCTTCCTTCCCGCCTTGCCTTCAGAGACACTTGGAGTTTTGCTTTTAACATAATTGAGTTTGTATTGTTTGTAATACTTTATTTCTTTTTTCAATCTAGTAGTTTATTTGGAACACTTTCCACTGTCATTAATTTTTTGGAAGCATTTTTAACAGCTGAATAATGGTGTGTCACGTGGCTATGCTATAGCTTATCCGGCCCTTCAGGCTTGAGCAGGTGGACCGCCTCCGGTGCTTTTGCTGTTCTCACCCTACAGTGTACCTATTTGTCTTTCTTAAATCTTTGCCTGCAACCCTGAGTGTTTCCTGAAGACAGATTACTAGGGGTGGGGTTAATTGGTCAGAGGATTGAACATTTAAATATAGAAAAGGTATCTTTCCCACTAACTACAGATATATTCTGTACTCCGTGAAGAGGGCCTCAGTTCCTGCCACCAGCCCCACGGGGCCTGTGTTCGTTGCCATTGTGACCACCAGACGAGTCCCGCTCCATGGCAGTTACTGTTCCATTGTCGCTGGAGAAAGGCTCTTTGGTTTGTTTATCCTGATGTGCTTTGAGTGTGCCTGTGGGTTGCTGTGACTTGACCAGTGTTTTACTTCACTTTTTTGTTTTTTGAGTTCGAGTCTCTCTCTTGTTGCCCAGGCTGGAGTGCGGTGGCACATTCACAGCCACTGCAGCCTCAACCTGCTGGGCTTAGACGATCCTTCTGCCTCAGCCTTCCAAGTAGCTGGAGCACACGCCACCATGTTTAGCTAGTTTTTATGATTTATTGTAGAGATGAGGTCTCACCAAGTTGCCCAGGCTGATCTCGAACTCCTGGGCTCAGGCAGTCCTCTCGCCTCAGCCTCCTAAAGTGCTGGGATTACAGGCTGAGCCACTGCGTCCGGCCTTACTTCACTTTAATGAAATAGGGTTGGGGGACTGACTCACTGAAGAAAATTATTGCGCTGGTGCTAGCCAGTTCCTACCACCCAGCCTAGGAGTGACCACAGGAGGAGAGGTTCTAGGCATGATGTCCCTGAGCTGGGTAAGGCGAAGGACAACCAGAGAACAAGAATACGTCTGCCCCTGTCTGAGAAGCTCCCAGATGAAGTGAAGGTGGTACAGGCTGGGCTCTTGTGCACATGGAGCCCTTGGAGTCCCAGTGGGCCGAGATGGCCACATTTCTGTCTCCCCATCCTAGCTGAGCAGCAACTGCTGTTTATTGGGTATTTATTCTCCACCAAGAACTAGGCTTCATAGATCATCCTATGATGGGGAGCTGTGGAGACTGAGTCACGGGAGCATGCTTCCCAGTAAGAGAACCTGCATTTCTGGCTGTGGCAGGCTCTCTGGCCCCAGCATCCAGGCTGGGCTGACAGGTGGGAGGGAGAGAGAGGCTCAGCCGCCAGGTGGTACCCAAAGTTGCAGAGGAGGTGTCCAGCCAGCTCATCGTGTCTGGTTATTGTCCAAGGCTACGTTGTCAGTCTGAGCACTCATCTTGGTCAGCAAAGACTTGGCCTTGCTTAGAGTTTTTGAGAGAGTCTGAAAGGATCACAACTTTAAGGAAAGGTTGGAAGCCCAGTACAGAGAATGTTTTCTTTTTTCTTTTTAAAAATTTTTAAAATTTTAAAGATGTGGGGTACAATTCAGGATTAGGTATACAAGTGGTCATTGTACAGGTAAATTTGGGCCTCCCTTTGGTCCCTGAGAATGTTTTCTCTTGAATCCTTAGAGAGTAAATTGACTCCTGATGTCCTGTCTTAGGATGTTTCCAACAAACAAGGACATTTTCCCACATGGCTCCAGCACAGCCATCAAACTTAGGGCGTTAACGTTGCCGTGTCACTGCCCGTCAAGTCCCACCATTTGCCTCATTGAGGAGGAGGAGGAGGGTACAGTTCTGAGTTGTGTGCCTTTAGCTTTCATGTCTTAAGGGGCTACCTTAAGGCTGGCAAGGGCCACAGGCGTCCTTGACTTTCACGACCTTGATGCTTTGAAGATTGCAGTTCTTCTGAGATGAGCCTTGGGTGGCTTTGTCTGGTGCTCACGCAGGCATAGATTCAGGATGTGCCTCCTATGGGTGGGAGGCGCGTTCTCAATCTGTCATATCGCTGGTGATGTTCACTCTGGCATTTTATCAAGGGGTGTCAGCCAGGTGTCTCTATGTGAAGCTAGGCTTCCTCTTCGTAATTAATGAACACTGTGTGTGATATTTTGAAGCTGTGCAAATGTCACATTCTTTATTAAGCTTTCAGTGTATTGTTTATTTACTTAAAATACTTAAATGTGATATTTATAATATTTACAGTTATTTTTTATTTTTTTGAGTTGGAGTCTCACTCTGTCACCCAGACTGGAGTGCAGTGGCCGCTCTCGGCCACCGCAGCCTCGACCTGCTGGGCTCTGGCAATCCTTCCGCCTCAGCCTTCCAAGTAGCTGGAACTACAGGCGCGTGCTACCATGCCCGGCTGATTTTTTTTATTTATTGTAGAGATGAGGTCTCACCAAGTTGCCCAGGCGGGTCTCGAGCCCGCGGGCTCAGGCATTCCACTCACCTCAGCCTCCCAAAGGCGCGAGATTACAGGCTGAGCTACTGAGCCCGGCTTACAATTTATTGTTTGGACTGATTTCCCATTTTATTTGAGGAGTTATAATCTTCTACTGTCATATATATTGATGTTCAGATTATTCCTGATTTGTCCAGTGGAACCCCCTTTGAGTGGACTCCTGTCCCTTTGGCCAGGCCCTATCCTGCTTTGAGAACTTCCTGTGGTATATAGGATGTTCTAGGCTCATCTTGTATATTGCTGCATCTTTTCTTAGCTCTTGTGCTACTTATTTCTTTAAGAAACCTGTTTCCTTTCATGTAGAATGACATATGGAAGTCAAAATCTGGGCACTAGAGATGCTCATTGCTTTTGAGATGTCAGTGCCCAGAAGCCCTCTTGATAGACAGAGCTTAGGAATATATGAATGTGTGTGTTTGTGTGTATTTCTGTCTGCTGTGGTCACACCAGTACCTCCAGTACTAATCTGGTACCGTTGCGACGTTCTAGTCTTACCTCTTTCCTTGTTTGAAGCTCCCTTTTGACTGAGGAATCTGCCTCTTATTATCCTTAATATACTTACCTGTTTGACCTCTCCATATTACCATTCTGCCATCACCACTGCCCTTTCCTGTGGGTGCCCTCGTCCCTTACTTGGGTTCTGATTCCCCACAGTGGGCTACTTGTACCCCCAGCCAGGATGGCCTCCTGGGCACTTTGGGATCAACGCTCCACACCAGGCTTTCTCCAGCCACAGCCCTGCGTGGCCCCTTCCCTGGGCTCTGCACCCCATTGGGCTCCCTCCACTACCCCTCCTCCGGTGGAGGCACATGCCCTGTATCATTCTGCACCATGGCTGAAGGACTGTGTCAGTGAGGACAGCAGAGTGGACAAGGAAAAGCTTTAAATGAACTTGAGGCATTATTGTTTCCCTACCCTGGATTGTTAAGGAAATACATTGTAATTTTTCATTCTTAAGGGAAAAATATTAAGGAAATAAAAATAACTCTCATCCCACTAATAAAGTTGTTCATAGTTTTAGGCCATTATGTAATGCTGCAGTGGACATCCTGGTCCATAAAATCCCAATTCTCAAAAATTAATAGCATAGTCAATATAAATCCAAGATTATAGAGTACCCATATAGTATATACAGTGTTGATGCTAATTATGAAAAATTGTTATACATGTAACATGCAGTCTTTGCTTCTGTATATCTATATGTACACTGTAATTTATCCATTTTGGAATTTTTGTTTCAACACAGGTACTTCCTCATGTCACTGAGAATTATTATAAGGCATGGCTTTTTGTTTGTTTGTTTTTGTTTTTTTTTTGAGTTGGAGTCTCACTCTGTCGCCCAGACTGGAGTGCAGTGGCCGCTCCCGGCCACTGCAGCCTCGACCTGCTGGGCTCCAGCGATCCTTCTGCCTCAGCCTTCCCAGTAGCCGGAATTACAGGCATGCGTTACCAGGCCCGGCTCATTTTTTTATTTATTGGAGAGATGAGGTCTCGCTGCCCAGGCGGGTCTCGCACCCGCAGGCTCAGGCAATCCACTCACCTCAGCCTCCCAAAGGCACGGGATTACAGGCTGAGCCACCGAGCCCAGCTAAGCATGGTTTTTGATGACCATGCAGAATGGCCTCATTCTTGTTAACCTGTATTCTTCCCTTGAACACCAAGGTTATTCAGAATTATTTTCTTATGTGCCACAGTGAAGATCCTGGGCTGTAAATCTTGGTGTGCTCACAATTATTTCTTAAGGTAGAATTCTTATAATAGGAACAGCTCAGAGGGTGGAGACATTTTCCAGGCTGGGATGTCTTCATGGGGGGACAACAGTTGACATGCCACCTCTGGGGAGCATGTGCGCCCATCCTGCTGCTTCCTGCCTTGCAGTTGCCAAAGGTTTCTCTCTTTCTGCTTAGTCTTTTTCAGTTTGACCCAAAATGGTGTGTTGTTTTTGCTTCTTTGACTGTTAGTGGGGCTGAACGATTTTTCATCTTCTGGCCCTTTGTGTTTCGTAGGAGCTGCTTTTTGGTGTTAAATGGGTTTCTGTTTTGTAGGAAACTCCGGGATGTTTTACAGCAGAGGCTGATAAAATTCTTCATCGAGCAGAGTAAAAAAGATGCTAAGAAATATGCAAAGTTTTTTGAAGATTACGGCCTGTTCATGAGGGAGGGCATCGTGACCACCACCGAACAGGAGGTCAAGGTAGGGGCTGGGTTCTGGACTTTTCTCTGCCATATCTCAGGCTGCTGAGGAAACTGGTGGAGGTGTCCTTGGATGTGAAAATGGTGCAGAGGCCACCACTGCCAGGGTCGGGCCTCTGCCAGGTTCCAGGTTTGGCATCAAGTGATCTTCCCACCTCAGCCTCCCAAGTAGCTGGGACCACTGACGGTGCCATTGTGCCTGGCCATGTGCCCCGAACTGAAGTCCAAGCCCAGGGAGTAAGCAGGAAGGAGGAGGCATGTGCTCTCTTACCTCCCAGAGGACTCAAGGGGCTTTGGGGAGCCACAGACAGCCAAGGAGTCTGATTCCCTAGGTGGGGAAGGCGAGGAATTAGTGTGTTTGTTTACTAAAGCGATGCTCATCATATACCAGGTAGATATCTCTAAATACTACTTGTGCCGCTGGAACCAGTAGTACAGTTCATCAAACAGCTGATTGCAGAAAAGTGATATATTCATTCCATAAACTTGTTTGGCCATTTTTTATTGAGATAACAATTTACATACCATCAAATTCATAAAATTGAGGCCAGGTGCTGTGACTCATGTCTATAATCCCAGCACCTTGGGAGGCCGAGGTGAAAGGATTGCCTGAGCCCAGGATTTCAGGACCAACCTGGGCAACATGGTGAGACTTCCTCTCAACAATAAATCAAAAAGTTAGGCATGGTGGCAGCATGGTGGCACACGCCTTTAGTCCCAGCTACTTGGAAAGCTGAGGCGGAGGGATTGTCTGATCCCAAAAGGTTAAGGCTACAGTGGCTGTGATCATATCACTGCACTCCAGCCTGGGTGACAGAGTTAGACTCCAATTCAAAAAAGAAAAGAAATCACAAATATTCGCTGTTTTGACATGTACAAATGAGTGGTATTTGGTCCATTCACCGTGTTGTGCACCCACCCCCACTAATTCCAGAACATTTTCGTATCCCCAGAGGAAGCTCATCCCCTGAGCAACCCCTCTGGGTGCTGTGTCACCTGTCTCCAGCAGGGCTTCTGCTTCTCCCCACAGCTTCAGAAGGAGGGCTGCATGTGTGGGTCCCAAGGAGGGTGGGGAGGGGTCCTGCAGGTGAGGTGAGGACGGTGGGTGGGATCCTGCAGGGCCTCAGAAAAGGGTGGGGAGAGTCCTGCAGGGGCACTGAGCAGGGTGGGGAGGGGTCCTGCAGGTGTGAGGAGGGTGGAAGGGGTCCTGTAGGTGCTTGGAAGAAGGCCCTTCCCCTGGGCCTTATGTGCCTCCTGGTTGTCACTCCAGCGGCTTCTAGTGCATGCCTACTTAAACTCCCCATTCATTCCCATTGCTCTTGTTTTTAGTTAATAGCACTCAGGTGGTATTCGCTGTGTGCCAGAGACTTTTCTAGATGTGGATGAGGATGATGTAGATGCTTTGAGATGCTCACACATGCTGTGCTTATAGATGAGGCTCAGTGGTGTATGAATATGGACCTTAGTGTGTGGGTGTGGCCTGGCCTTGCCGGGTCGTTCCCCAGCTCCCTTTTTTCCCCTCTGTCTGTCCACCTTGGACTCCCAGCCATGTCACTCTCATTTGGACCTGCCCCTGGGTGTCCTCTGTGCCCTCTCTCCACGTCCCTGCATTCCCCGCCACTCTTCTGTGCCTGTGACTATCAGCAGTGACAGTGGCTTAGATAAAGTGTCTGGGCTGGTGGCATCAGGGATTAGACCCCCAGCTTGCTGTAGCACCTGCGTCTTTCACACACGGCTTCCACCTGAGCCCCCACAGCTCCTGAGGTGGGTCCCGATATGCAGAGCAAGGCCTGTTTTCATCGACACCAAAGAGTCCCCACAACCCCTAGGGCCAGAGCCAGTGTGGGCACCGGGAAGCCAAGGGCTTCAGAAGGCTGTGTCCAGCAGGTCGAGAGGTGCCTGGGGTGTGGCCTGACCCACCCTTGTCTGTCTTCAGGAGGACATAGCCAAGCTGCTGCGCTACGAGTCCTCAGCACTGCCCGCTGGGCAGCTGACCAGCCTCTTGGACTACACCAATCGCATGCGGCCTGGCACCCGCAACATCTATTATCTGTGCGCCCCCAGCCGGCACCTAGCCGAGCACTCGCCCTACTACGAGGCCATGAAGCAGAAAGACACAGAGGTGGGTGAGTGTGGGTAGGGCAGGCTCTGCGGCTGCCGCCAGGTTAGAGCGGAGCAGGTTCCAAGCTTCCGGGGAGGGTCTTCACCTCCTCAACTCAGTGCTGGGTGGGAAAGGGCTGCTCAGCGAGAGTCAGGATCCGGGCAGAGGCCACATGCATCGTGATCCGATTGTGTTTCTCACTAGGAGCACACATGCACTGCTTTATGAATGGAGTGTGTCTGCATTGAGGCTGCCAGAGCCTCTCTCTGGCCCTTATGCTGAATTAACTGTCACCCGGACTTAGGAAGCCCAGCAGCCTGTGTGGCTCCTCCTCTTCCTGCCTTCCACGCCCTCACTCCTGTTAAGGGCAGAGATTCCTCTGGGCCTGATGGAAGCACTCCTGGCTGTCCGCAGGTTCTCTTTTGCTATGAGCAGTTTGATGAGCTGACCTTGCTGCACCTCCGTGAGTTTGACAGGAAGAAGCTAATCTCTGTGGAGACGGACATCGTTGTGGATCACTACAAGGAGGAAAAGTTTGAGGACGGGGCGCCAGGTTGGCATCCTCCTCGGAGCAGGGCTGCTGCCAGTGTGGCCGCAGGGGTTGCAGTTAGGGCTCAGGGCCCCAACCCTGATTTCCTGCAGGGCCTCTCCTGTCCTGCATGGTGGGTTGACATGGAGTTTTCTTCTCAGTTGATCTGGGGTCAGCGACCTGTGAGAGAAGCCACTTGGGCACCTCTTAGTGACTGTAGGAAACACCTCCCTTGTTAGGTTCCCTCCACAGTGTCTCCTTCCACGGTGGCTCCTGTGGTAGACCAGGCTTCTTGAGGATCAGAATTGTCTTAGCAAAATTATTTGATTCTCAAGCAACTGGAAGTGTCCTTTCTGGGGTTTTAATTTTAGATGAAAAGTACTTTTGGTATCTCTGTCTCTGTTTTGGCAGGTAGGAGGAGGTAGGGAGGGCCGGCCAGACACTTGGCCTGGCAGAACATTCTGCATGGGGCCCCATGGGAGCCTGTGGAGCGCAGGCTGTGGAAATGGCCCTTGAACTCTCTCTCACTTGCCCTTCTGTAGCTGGTGATTGCCTATCCGAGAAGGAGACAGAGGAGCTGATGGCCTGGATGAGAAACGTGCTGGGGTCACGAGTCACCAATGTAAAGGTGAGGCCTTCCTGGGGATAGGCCACCACCCGGCCACTGCGGCCCTCAGTGTCCCTGATAGGCTGGCCTGCCTGAGGCTCCCAGTTCTTGGCCTGGGGGCATCTGCCCAGTGGCAGTTGAACCCCATGGCATAAGGTGGAGACCCTGGGTCCTTGCTCTGGGACACACGCTGTCCAGGAAAGCCACTGTAGTGAGAAGCAGGGTCTCCCTCCCTGTTCCCTGGTGCACAGCAAGTGGGAACTGAGAAAGGGAGAGCAGCCGAGGGCCTGGGGGTGGGTGGGTCAGAGAAGCGGAGTCCTCATGGGCAGGAAAAGGCGTATCTGCCCTAACGTGAAGGCACAGGAGGCCTCAGAGGACAGGATGAGAGCGAGGCTGGCAGGTGTGGACCACCTCGACAGATGGGGCTGAGGCCAATGAGAGCTCAGAGAGAGGCCTGCCTCGCAGCTGGGCCCGTGGCCAGGGTTGCTGACTTTAGAGATGTGTGTAGACTTGGCAGGGGACCTGCAGTGAGCCAAGGTGAAAACAATACCAGGCAAGGTAGACCTTTGATGCGACCTAAGCAGAAACTCTTTGAGGAGAAAGGAGCCCCCACAGGCTCCGTAGCTTCATGTGGGAGCTAAGGGCTGTGCCCATCCGCGTGTGATGGGGAATGCGGGAGAGAGAGCCGCACTGGCCTAGGGCCTGTCCCTGGGACCCTGCCTTCTCCTGCCTTGTGGTGAGGGGAGCTTCATCCCTGGCTAAGGCCTTGCCAGACCTTCACCTTGGGGGCTGCCACCTTTAGATCCTCCCTCACCCCAGTCCCTGGCTTTGCTGTAGATGACCCTCCGACTGGACACTCATCCTGCCATGATCACCGTGCTGGAGATGGGGGCGGCCCGGCACTTTCTGCGCATGCAGCAGTTGGCCAGGACCCAGGAGGAGCGCGCCCAGCTCCTGCAGCCGACGTTGGAGATCAACCCCAGGTGAGGCTGGCCTCATGATTCCTGGTCCTTCCAACCTGCTGGGGAGTTCTGCGGAATGCTGTGCTGAGTTTTTGTGCTCTTTTATTTTATTTTATTTTATTTTATTTTGAGTTGGAGTCTCACTGTCGTCCAGACTGGAGTGCAGTGGCCGCTCCCAGCCACCGCAGCCTCGACCTGCTGGGCTCCGGCGATCCTTCCGCCTCAGCCTTCCAAGTAGCGGAAACTACAGGCGTGCGCTACCACGCCTGGCTAATTTTTTTGATTTATTGTAGAGGCGAGGTCTCGCCAAGTTGCCCAGACAGGTCTCGAACCCGCAGACGCAGGCAATCCACTCACCTCAGCCTCCCAAAGGCGTGGGATTATAGGCTGAGCCACCGAGCCCGGCTTGTGTGCTCTTTTATGTAGCAAGGTGCTTGAAGCTCAGGTACAGTTGGTGCCTGTTCATAGAGAATATTCCGTGTAAACTGTTAACTATAAACTGTGCCCACATGAAGTTTGCAAAAACAGAACCTGGTGGCCAGACTCCTGACGTCTCCCCGGATCTCTCCCCACTAGGATTCTGTCCTCTCCTCAGGTTAACTGCAGCTCAGATTTGTGAGGATCACTTCATTGCTTTGCTTAATGGTTTTGCCACCTGTGTATGTCCTTAAACACGCTGTGTCATTTGTTCTGAACTTTGTGTGGGGATCCTGGTATGTTGAAGTCTCCCGTTTCTCATTGGGCACGTGACAGCTGCCATGCACAGGGAGGCTGCAGTGTGGTCATTTTCGTAGCTTTATAATACTCATTTAGGAATCTGCCTCAGCACAGTTGGCGCCTCTCTTCTGTCCTGACGGGCATTTGGGTGGTTTCCAGTTTTGAAGTTGCTTTGAATATTCCTGTCCATGTGGCTGGCACCCACGTGAGTTTCTCCACAGCTACATCTGCAGGGCAGCAGCTGGGTGATGGGACCTACTTCCAGGATGAACTGAGAACCCGCTAGTCCCGACAACTCATGAAACTGAGCCCCTTTTCTCACATTTTCTGGCAAGATTTCCTTTTTGTTTATTGGTTTGTTTTTTTTATATATTGTTTATCAGTGGTAAATGTCTTTTCCCACTGTCTTTTTCCCTGTTTTGAGGTATCTTTTTGATGAGTAAATTTCTTAATTTTAATATAACAAATGTATAAATCTTTGTTAGATGCTTGTTTAAGAAATCTTATAGCCGGGCTCGGTGGCTCAGCCTGTAATCCTGCGCCTTTGAGAGGCTGAGGTGAGTAGATTGCCTGAGCCTGCGGGTTCGAGACCCGCCTGGGCAGCGAGACCTCATCTGTACAATAAATCAAAAAATCACCCGGGCGTGGTAGCGCACGCCTGTAGTTCCAGCTACTCGGAAGGCTGAGGGGGAAGGATCGCCGGAGCCTAGCAGGTCGAGGCTGTGGTGGCTGGGAGCAGCCACTGCACTCTAGTCTGGGCAACAGAGTGAGACTCCAACTCAAAAAAAAAAAAAATTAGCTGGGTGTGGTAGTGCGCGCCTGTAGTTCCAGCTACTTGGAAGGCTGAGGTGGAAGGATCCCCAGAGCCCAGTAGGTCGAAGCTGCAGTGGCCAGGGGCGGCCTCTGCATTCCAGTCTAGGCAACAGAGTGAGATTCCAACTAAAAAAAAAATCTTATTTAAGAAATTTTTATTACCAGAGTCATGAATATATGAGGGGGAACTCCAAAAAACTGTTATTTATTAAAAATCATGTATTTCTTACATGTTTAAACTTCAGTCACCTTCATAGTACTGTTTGATGCAGTATACCTATTAAGATGCTTTTTCCACTGCTCAAAATGGTTTTTTTTAACTCTCCAATTTTGATGCTTTTTAGTGCTTCTGCCAATTTTTGTTTCACCTCTTCCACATTGGCGAAACGTGACCCTTTGTGGACTTTTTTCATCCAGGAAAACAAAAAAGTTGCTCAGGGTGAGATTGGGTGAATAGGGAAGGTGGGGCAAGGGATGGGGATCCCACCGTTTTGGTCGAAAACTGCTGAACACTCAGTGCAGTGTGGGCAGGTGTGTTGTCTTGGTAGAAGAACCAGTCAGTCACCTGTTTGCCATAACGTGGGACATTTCTTCTGCAAATCATAACGCAACCTTCTAAAAACTTCCAGATAAAATCTTTAACTGTTTGATATGGAGGAACAAATTCCTAGTGTACTCTATGGGGCCCGCTCTCCAAAAGATAATTCTGGTCTTTTTGGGGTCCCCCTCATATTTTCCTACATTTCTTTCTAAAAGCTGTTTGGTTTTGGCCTTTTGTCTTGGTTTTTAACCCATCTGGATTTAGTTCTTCTGGTATGTGGGAGAGGTATACTCTCATCTTATTCCATAAGAATACCAGTTGTCGCCGGGTGCAGTGACTCAAGCCTATAATCTCAGCACTTTGGGAGGCGGAGGTGAAAGGATTGCCTGAGTCCGGGGGTTCGAGACCAGCCTGGGCAACTTGGTGAGACATTGTCTCTACAATAAATAAAAAAATTAGCCGGGTGTGGTGGTGAATACCTCTAGTTCCAGCTACTGAGGAAGGCTGAGGTGGAAGGATTGCTTGAGCTCAGCAGGTTGAGGCTGCAGTGGCCATGAGTGTGTCACTGCACTCCATCCAGCCTGGGCAAGAGGGTGAGACGCCAACCCCAAAACAAAAAAAAACACAAAGAATACCAGTTGCCCCCACCGATTCATGTTACCTTTTCTGTTGTTGTCAGGTGTCCATACGGATGTGCATGTCTGTCCCTGTGCCAATACTGCACAGGCTTAGCCACTCAGCTTTCCACAAGCCTTCATATTCAGCAAGCAAGTTCTCCCTCTTTTTTTTTTTTTTTACGGAATTTTTTGTTTATTTGCTAATAATGTCTGCTTCTCTGATTTCTCATGGGCCAGAGCAAAAGTTCCACATTGATAACACAGGCTCCTACGTCACCAATTAGGCTAGGAATGTTAAGTCAAGGGCATCTAAAAATGGCACAAAGCTTACTTACCATTTTTATATCATCTTTTCCTTGACTCAGCATATGCTTATTTTTTTTTTTCTAATTCTGTGAATGGACTTTGCCATTTTCTCAGACATTCATCTGTTTCTATATTTTCAGTGAAACAAGGAATAATGTTATTGGTTGGAAAAAGATATATGTAAGCTAAAATGATGGAGGATTGGGTCAAGGTCTAAA